TTTGAGTGTCTCTTTTTTTGGTGATGAATTTTGTAATACATTGCTTTATTTTACTTTTATCAGATTGATCCTGAATTGGTTTTGTCTATGACGGAGGAGGAACTGTCTGGATACATCCCTTTGCATGGTGACAGGCTTAGATTAAAACGTTTTGTAACACAAAAACAGAAAGAGAAAAAACAAGACAAGAAAAGGGAAAATCTTCTTACAGTCCTAAGAAAGAAAATAGAAGATAGTAGGCAGAAAAGAAAGCCAAGAACAGAATCATCCGGAGAAGAAGATTCAGAAGAAATGAGGCCTAGACAGAGGGGGAACAGGAATGCACAGAAGCATACTAGAAAAATCGAACTGGGATGGCTACATAAAGGAGTCCAAGTTCGACTTAAAAAGGGAGGAGGGACCAGGAAAATCAACATAAAAAAAGATGCAACAAAGAAAGGTTTAATTAAAGAAGGGATTAGATTATTTTTTCCTCTTGGAGAATCCCTTAAAGGACCAGTTACGGACTTCCTTTGTGACTTAAAAGACTTTAGCAGCAGAAGTGTTCGTGAAGACATGACAGTAAAAGAAATGTACGAGGAGACGAAACTTCCCCTTTTGCGATTTTATTTCACAACAGAAGAAAATGGATCTACAAAAGGGAACGAAGCTGAAGAGAACAAAGACACGGACGATGAACTGCCAGAAAGTAGTAGCAGAAAGTCCGAGGACGATTTACCACAACTGCATGTAACCTTGCGCCGCAAGAAGGGACCAAGAATAACTGATTCGGATGAGGATGCTAGTTTACCATCTTTGGAGTCTGATTATGGAACAGGCAAAGACGATATCCTGAAGCAGGCAATTAATCTTGCAGGTATTATTGACAGTATGGACGAGAGCGACACCGAAAATACCGCAGAAGCTAGAGATCAAACCCTCCTCTCTATTACTGAACACAAAATAACTTTGCACAGAGGACAGATCCTTAAAGAAATGATTCAGGAGTTTAAAAAAATCGATCCTTTCAGTGACATTGTAACTTTGACTGTGTTACTACCAAACGGGGTGGCTGAAACTGCTGAGGATGGAGGCGGAGTCACCAGAGATGTCCTTTGCGAGTTCTGGAATTCGTTTTTTGAAGAGTGCACTTTGGGAAGTTCTTTCAAAGTTCCATGTCTAAGACATGATTATGGAGAGCTAGAATGGCAGTCCGTAGGAAAAATAATTGTATTTGGTTGGAAGAGTGTTGGGCATTTCCCAATTCAGCTTTCGATAGCATTTTTGGAACAATGCTTATTCAACACGGTAAATAGCAACCTACTGGAGGCGTTCTTAAAATTTATTTCGGAAAGTGATGCAGCTTGTTTGAACTCCGCTTTAAAAGACATCGAATCTGTTGACATGGATGAGTTTCTGGAAATCCTGGATCAGCATGAAATAAAAAGGATTCCTAAACAAGACACTATTGCAAAAATTCTGGAAGAAATTGCACACAAAGAACTGGTTCAGTCGTGTATGTTTGTGATAGACTGTATAAGTCCTTACCTTAAGAAGCTCAACATATCGGAAAAGAAGCTGAAGACACTCTTCGAAAACCTTCTGCCCACAACCAGAAAAGTTTTAGCTTTGTTACAATTTCCTGAGGTTATGACTCCCGAGGAGATCGTTGTTTCGAACCATCTAAGACGGTTTGTAAGAGAACTAGACATCTTTACGCTGAAAAAATTCATGAGATTTTGTACCGGTTCGGACTTGTTACTTCAAGACCACATTCAAGTCTCGTTTGTGAATGTAACAGGGTTGGCGCGGCGACCTGTTGCTCACACATGCTCATGTTTACTGGAGATCCCTAAAACCTACGAAAATTTTCCAGGGTTTAGAACCGAATTTTTGGCGGTTCTTAATGCCAACGTTTGGGTTATGGACATTATCTGAAGCGGTTTAAAGTAGAACGTATAGACTCCAGCTGTATGCACCTGGGTATAATTTACATGTTTGTTGCTAAAAGCTCAAGAAAGCTCTGAACTCAACTTTTATTTGAAAATTGAACATTTATATGGTATATGTTACCTATGTATTAATTACACATGTTAAGTGTTGGTTTTATCTTAATTTGCGTTCCAAGAATTAGGACCAGAAACAATTGCTACCGAGAAAATATTCTACCATTATAACGATTGTTATTGATGAGTCCTTCAGATTTCATGGATGCATTAAACATATACAGACTTTCATGGATGCTTTAAATACCTTTAGAAGAAATATTCATTATGTTTAAAGTTATTTTAATTAAAAGGACATACGCAACGCAGTTTTGAACCAGTAGGTTTTATTTCTTATTCCCTGTATAATTTAAGAGTTCAAATAATACTGAAGGACCTTTGTGATTTTATGGTGTCTGGTAATGCTGTACACCTCCTTTAAATCAAATTTATAGGAAATATCGCTAAAAGTTCTAAATTTTTAAATAATTCTCTTTAAAAAAATACAAGGATTTTCATCTTTTTGATTTTTTTTTTTTTTTTGGTAAAAAATCATCTTATGTTATAATGATTTTGAATTAAGGATACTAGTATATATCTTGGAAAAGTATCAGTGGGGAAGGTACATTGTTAATTTTAAAGCATCGTCTGTTATATTTTTTGAACATTTACAAAATCATTTCCAACCAATTCTGATATATAGTATCAGGGGTGTAAAGGTGATCAGAAATTGTGAATTTCGTGGTCTTTGCCTCCCTGGGCGGTCCAAAACATTAAAAATTAATGCAATTTTCAAAACTCTTGTTTCCTTCAATCATCTAGAAAGCTTATAGTACGATCAAGATTTAAGAAATAATTCCCTCGTCGTCGGCATTGTTGGAGAATTTACTAGTACCCCCATAGTTGAGAGATTTTGTTGGCAAATAAAAACCGAGCCCGAAGGGCGAGGTTTTTATTTGCCAACAAAATCTCGAGACTGGGGGGTATATTCTCCAACAATGCCGACGACGAGGGAATTTTTTCTATACTATTACTGCGAATAATATGTTGACGGTGCGACCGTTAGGGCGAGCGCAGATACCTATATTCAGTTTTATTTAGATCGGGCTCTTCAAATCGCACGTGACATTTAGTGCGTCTAGACTCATTCGGCAAACCTCGGCTGATTCCGTCACCTTCATCAAACGAATCGGCCGAGGTGTGCCGAGTGCGTCTAGACTCTGACGTCACATGACGTCGCTTGTAAGTTGCATTACCAAAACGAAGTCTGAACAGTGCTAATTTTAATAAAGAAGGTTTAATCTACTATTTATCTGCTATATATCCATCAAATCAAGGTGAGTTTATTTTTTTCTTGGAACTTCTTGTTACCGCGAGAACGTTGTTTGCGGCGAGATGCAATTCGCAAAGCATTATGGGACCACAGGTAACTGCGGAAAAAAATTCGTTTGGATCAATGTGCAAAGTCCGAATTTTCTCTTCGCCCAGGTGTTGCTTTAAGAGCTCGCAGTGACGAGCGGCGCTTCGCGCCGCTCGCTGCGCTCGCTATTAAAACGCATAAAGAGAAAAACAGAAGCTACCGTGTCTTATGACGTCACAATTGAATGCTATCCTCGTTCACTTCTATCTCAAGCGTAACAGAAAAGGAGAAAATGTATGGCTGGACCGGGAATCGAACCCGTGACCCCTGCATCACTACCCAGGTGCTCTACCTACTGAGCTACCCAGGCCGATATCCTCGGCTCAAACCATTACACAAGCATTAGAAAAAGTGCGACACAATCATTTCGCGCCAAATGTCACATGTAAATTATCTTCGCGCCTTTTTTTGGATTGTTCTATTGAATGGGTGTGATAACTCCTATTGAAATAAATGACGTTTATTCTTTTAATCGATTCTTAAGCTTAAGATTTTTTATAAACCGTAAATTTTATATCATTTTAATAGAACACATTGCATATTGGCAGGCAACACTAATGCAATGGATTTACTGATTATTCTTACTATTTATCCCATAAGTGAATTAGTCCAATCATAAACAAATTCTCTCGACCTAGTAAATGGGACATCCCTTCTTGATTCAGTCTGTTTTCCTCCTTTTCTTTCAATATTACAATTATTAATAATTAAAAGAAAAACTAAACAATTTTAAAACTGCACAAAAAAGATGTATTTTTAAACTCATTTATAATACAAGTACATGTATATGGTAAGACCATCGCGCGTGAGTTTCGTCCGGGGGGGGGGGGGGGGGTGTGTGTTATTAGTATCTTGTTTTGCTCTAGCTATAAAGTGTACAGTCCATTTACTTTGAGTTCTAGAGCAGCACTGAAGCATTTTTGCCTCAAACACTTCAAGAAAAGGCACTTTAAACTGTTCATAATTTACTTCGACGTCGAGAACGACGGAAAACAGACCAGTCTATAAAAAGAGGCTGTCTCATCAATCTATCACTGACCAGAGAAGCGCGCCTTCTAGTAAGAGAGTACATGTAATATGAATTTCTTTAGAATCATCTAACTATTTTTCCCAAAATTATAATCTACGCAAGCGCACTTAGAGTTTCATCCCAACGGAACTTGTCAGCCCATGGGCTAACTATTGAATGGTTGAAAAGTGGCATGTCTTAGATATTCGATAATCTGTAGTATTTGGTTATGAGATTTGAGAAAGTCAATTGTACATCCTGTGTAATGAAGTATCGCAACTATGTCTCCTTGATGACGGAAACAGTTAGCACTTCTCTTGCTTATATGTTCCATAGATATTGATTAGTCAGGCAAGCTTTTTGAAAAGCTATTACTTGTGATGAATTAAGGATTTGTGTGAAGTCGTCATTAAATTTAATTGAATGCAAAATAACAGTTTCAATATACAGTAAAACGATTTAGAAATTAAGTGTTAGTTCAAACATTTAGTTGAAGTCTTGATCAATTACCGATCTGCTTTCTTATACGAAATCATTTGCACAAAGTACTGAGACAGCGAATGCTATACTAATTTGGGAATTCAATACAACATAAATATGGTAACAATCAGTTGCTTTTACATAGATTTTATATAATTCCAGTATATAATTGCAAAAAAAAAATGCACATGTATATTACTTTTTATGCAGCCCATGTGAATGTTGTTACACCATTTGGTGTACAAAAATATTAGCAGCTTGAAAAAGAAATAAATAGTAAACAAGATTTTGCTCTAGTCTCTCTTTTTTTACAGCACCCAAAATTTTAATTGCTGGATAAAGAATCATTTGTATATTTTATATTAAACACTTAAGACGTAACCTGTTCTCGAGAATGATTTTGCCGAGAGAATAAAAGGATAGCTTAGTAGATATGTTATCAAAATGTGATTGTCCATATGTATTACACTAACACTGGTAGAACCTAGGACAAAATGTCTGAAAATAATGAAAATGTAGATAGTTGTAAATGCTACTTAATAATCTACTTTTACATTGGTAAAAATCAAAACATCTACAACTTTTTGTTTACATTGTACATGTAACGGGACTGGCCATGTAAACGAAACAAAGTAAAGCGAAATTAATTGACATATGTACATGTATATCAGCATGCATTTCTCGACACTAAAAGCAGAATCAAATCTGTGAAAGAATTGCTTCTCTAAGACCCAAATATAACTCTTTGGCACTAACTGCATCGTCTGGCATTACATCACCACTTTCTTCCATGATATCAAAACACAGTTCTTTAACAGTGTCATCACAGGGGTGATCTGGTTTTGGGGTTGTTTCTTCTTCGCACAGGAGAACTTCATGTGCATCAACGGGACTAAGTTGGTTCTCATAACCATAAAATTCGGGTAAAGTGTACATCATGAGAGGGCGATTTCCTTCTCGTAGCTTGTTTGTGCTCGACGAAAGGGTATGTGTATTCCACATCGTTGTCAGCATGTCCAAGTCTTTCTATTAAAAGAGTCATCAGAGAATAAATAACTGCACAGTATATATATGAAATAAAAACCTTAACTGATTTCTACAATTTCTTTATGTAACCGCCACTTGAATAACCTACCGACTTATTTCGCAGTCGAAAAGAAAGCAAATTATTTTGACATGATAAAATGAGAATTTTTCAATATTTAATTTATAAGAATAGATGCTTATTAACATGCATATATATCAATAAAGTCAAGTCAAGATTACAGTCCACCGACCCAAAGTAAAGTCATTATTACATTTTCAGATCAGACTTTTAAGGTTGCAGAGTTCCTGAAGTGGAATTAATGCTGAAGTACTTTATGGACATTTCTAAAATCATTATCCCCCCCCCCCCATTTTTATCATTCTCTCATGTAACATTTGATACTGAACGATTGCTAAGAATTTTCATTCCCAACCGGAGTTTTACTGAGAAAAAAAAACTGTCAGAACTTCTTTCATAGAATGCCATCAATGCTTATATAGATAACATCGTAACCATACCTGTATCAGCTTGATGAAACAAAATTGCACTAGGCTTTTGTCTAGGAAGCTGCCACAGAATGATGTATTTCCAATATCAGTGGATAACCCTTGGAAAAGATCCATCCAAAACTGTCCTACCTTTTTTCTAAGACATCCCCAAAACCACTCAATTCTTTGGTTGTGTGTGCTCTTCCCATATAGGAAGCTCTTTTGTCCAGACAACTCATCCTGGTGGTTTCGCCTGAGGAAAACTTGCATTTGTTCAACATGAGTATTCTCCGTTCCCATATCTGCTCGAATCCGTCTGGGACAGCCTGTTTTACGTTTAACAGCCTGAATGTAATAATACGCTATGACTTTGGGGTCACTGTTAGTTGTACTTGCTTCAAGCCATATGACATTCCTTGAAAATCCATCAATGCAGCCGTTAATTGCTATTCCATACGGTTTTAATTTATCGTATGAATCAATGTGCCAGACAAAGTTCGGTCCTTTACTTACATACTGACGCCTCTTTAGACGGTTTCTTTTTCGTGCTGCTAATCCTTCTGGGTCAATTAACTTCATTATTTGATATACAGTATCTCTTGGAACAAGTAGTTTATTCTGTATGCATTTGAGATGCATCCACCGGTATCCATGCAATCTACCAGCTGCTTGTTGCTCGTCACAGATGAACATCGCAACATCTAATAAATCGCTATAGTCCTTTCTTCTTCTTAACTTTAAGAGTCGAAGAGTACGTTTCAAAGTTGACATGCTGATAATAACATGGTGCGCTAAAGCCAAAAATGCAAGGATTTCTGAATTGGATAAACCAAGGTTGAAATACAGCCTAACCAGATCTTCCATTCTCATAAACTGAACAATGTCATCTCATTTTCCTTATTTATAAAGAGAAACTCGTAATAACGACTTTTTATCTCGTTATTACGACTTTCCTAAGTCGTAATAACGACTTTTTATCTCGTTATTACGACTTTCTTAAGTCGTAATTACGACTTTTTATCTCGTAATAACGACTTTTTATCTCGTTATTACGACTTTCTTAAGTCGTAGTTACGACTTTTTATCTCGTAATAACGACTTTTTATCTCGTTATTACGACTTTCTTAAGTCGTAATTACGACTTTTTATCTCGTTATTACGACTTTCTTAAGTCGTAATAACGACTTTTTATCTCGTTATAACGACTTTCTTAAATCGTAATTACGACTTTTTATCTCGTAATAACGACTTTCTTAAGTCGTAATAACGACTTTTTTTCTCCTAATAATGACTTTTTATCTCGTTATAACGACTTTCTTAAATCGTAATTACGACTTTTTATCTCGTAATAACGACTTTTTATCTCGTTATTACGACTTTCTTAAGTCGTAATAACGACTTTTTATCTCGTTATAACGACTTTCTTAAGTCGTAATAACGACTTTTTATCTCGTAATAACGACTTTTTATCTCGTTATTACGACTTTCTTAAGTCGTAATTACGACTTTTTATCTCGTAATAACGACTTTTTATCTCGTTATTACGACTTTTTAAATTTTTTTTTTAATTTTCTTATTTGACCCTTCTAGGCTTTCGTAGAAGACAAATCTGAATGGTGGATTTAATTTTTCATGTGCAAGAAGTTACATTATATTTTTTATATTTTTTGTTTTCGTAAAAAATAATATTGCAGTCTTCACCATTTTTTCCAACACAGTCATGTCCTTCGACAAGTGTATCCACCAACTGCACTAGTCCGAACAAAAATTTACATGTCAAAGTCTGAGTCACTTAATTCTGACAACCCTATGCTACTCTCAGTCTCTCCTTCCATTTCGACAGGGTCCCTTCCTTAAGTATATCCTCCCCATCACAATTAAAGCATGTGTCAGATTTGCTGACTAGAAACCTCCCTTCATTATTCCAAAATTCAATGTGAAAAGTGGATTTGGTATTATAATATTCGAATTTTTTTCTGAACATAATTGTTATTATCTGCTAAACATTCATGTGTGTTAGTATTTGAACAAATAATGATCAAGAAAACATCCAAAACTAAACTGGATCATCAACAGAAAAGCTTAAAAAACTGAATGAACATCAAAATACAAAGTAAAACACCATTAATAATAGAGAATCTACCAAGAGCCAACAAGAAATTCACCAGGTATGCTCTTTGATCCATTCTTAGGCCAATTTAAAAAGATCCAAATAGAGTTACCTCAATAATATCAGTGTAAGGAAATCTGTGTACACTGAAAGTATAAATATGGCAAATATATCCTTTGCTTTAGCATTTAACGAGGCCGAGCCTAAATATTTTTACCCTAGATATTTTGAAAACATTTCTTGTATGATATTTTACTATTATATTAATTATTTTAAAATAATGTAATGAAATATATGGAGATAACGAACAGTATTCAAGCTCAAAAGTCCATTAAACAATACAAAATAGGAGCAGAGCAAACACGGACCTCCAAACATCAGAGGTGAGATCAGGTGCCATGGAGGAGTGAGCATCCCCTGCCGACCGGTCACACCCGCCGTGTGCTCCTTGTCATTATCGGGAAATAACGGAAAAATCTGTCGACAATTCAGTGTGTAAATAATGGCCTAACAATTAGTATGAAAAACGTCAGTCAGCATTTGACTCATTGATAAATTATATTTGCTGACAAGGTCATTGTATCGACCATAGAACTTACGAAATGATGACTTTAAACGAGACAGCTGATATTCTTGTTTCATCAACTTGTTTGTCAATAATTACCTCGTTTTAGAAATTGTACATACGTAGAGCATGCTCTTGCGTATCGAATCAACTGAGAGATATATACCCCGTATGCAGGTGATGAAGGTACATGTTTATTGTTGCATAAGTAAGGGAAGTTGACGATTGAAAAGTTAGTCATCACGTTTATCATAAAGCTTGGTTGTTAGATTACCATTAACGTCTTTCTCAAGTAAAATATCCAAATATGAAACAGATGTGTCAGACTCTGGTATCTTTTATCTCAAGTTCAGCAGGATATATCGTATCGACATAAGAATGGAAATAGCCATTGTTTATTGACAATACGTCGTCGATATATCTAAATGTCGAGTTGAAGGCCACAGCAAGTGTTTTCTCCTTTTCACGTACAAGATTTTTGACAAATTCTGCTTCATATGAATACAAAAGAGGTCTGCTAATAACGGGGCGCAATTAGTACCCATGGGAATTCCTATAGATTGTTGGAAGACCTGGTCTCCAAAAACCACATAGATATTGTCAATCAGAAACTCAAGCATCTGTCAAGTATCGAATGTTTCCCATCCATTTCTTAGGAGGTCATCTCAATTTTTACCTCAGTTTCAAGTTAGGTGTACTGTAAAAATTCCTGTCTCAGTCACACTTCCTTAGTGTGGTCTCAATTTTGAGCTCAGAAAGTTAGACTTCTTTATTTGTGTTCTCAATTTCAATATGGCATTGTCGGCAGCAAGATTGAATATTTTTAACATCATTGAAGGGAAGAGAAAGGCTCCTCGTCCGCGTGTTTTCAGGGATAGGAGTAACCCATTGGAGGATTTAGAGCCGGATAAAGTGCATATTTAATACCATTTCAGGTTTGAAAACATTCTAATCCTTATGGTAATGCTTAACGATGATGTTATAAGACCAACAAATAGAAATTCTGCATTGCCCCGCTTTTACTAGTGCTGGTAACCCTACGGTTCCTAGCCACTGGATCGTTTTACACCAGTCTACGACTGGAGGAGCTGCTCGCCGTGTGTGTTCCTTGTTTGTTTGTTGTTTAACGTCCCTCTCGAGAATTTTTCACTCAAATGGAGACGCCACCACTTGCCGGTGGAGAGCTGCAAATTCTGTCCTATGCTCGGGACTTACGGCGATTGAGCAGTGAGGGATCTTTATCGTGCCAGCACTTACTGCGACACGGGACCTTGGTTTATACGGTCTCATCCGAAGGACCGGTCTCCACGTCCCACAGTGGGATTCGAACCCGCGACGTAAGGATCAACTCCTTACTTCGCAACTCTAGACCAGGCGCTTTAACCACTGCGCCACGCGGGCGACTGTGTGTTCCTTGTGTGCGAGTTTCGCACAGAGATACATCAAATTCCCTGTGGACCTATCTAGATTCAAGATTAGATTTTTTTATATCGCAGGTACTTGTATTTACTGCTTATTATTTAACATTCTTTGAAATACAAACTATCATTTTACATTCAACGCAAACTTATCTGTTTTATGTGTTTAATGAGGGTACATAATATTTGTGCGTATGTGTGTTTTTTCCAACAGTTGAAAAGATTGCAGCTTAACAAATGTACTAAAATTTAAAAAAAAAATTAAAAAGTTAAAATCAAGTTAAATAATTTTATCTTCCTTTCGTTATTGATCAGTAATGTAATAAAATGTATATAGGCATCGTACGCAAATAGCAGTTAACTTCATTGAATGATCGATGTACTTTTTGAAAAATACAAGGTTGGGGAGTAATAGGAATCCCCCTTTTCACTGTTTCAACTCAAGTATTAGGATTGATTATTTTCAAGATGATCAAGGACACATTATTTATTTTATTTTTCTTTCATTGAAAAAAAATTTGATTGTTTGACTGATTGTATTTTGTTTTACGTCCCGTTCGAGAATTTTTCACTCATATAGAGACGTCACCATATACCGTTGAAGGGCTTCAAATTTAGACCTTTAGTCGGCACTCGGGGCTTTTGAGCAGTAAGGGTTCTATCGTGCCAACGCCCACCGTGACAAGGCGCAGCACACTTAAGGCTACAATAAGGAGGCGGGGTCTAATTTACACGGGAAATGCTTACTATGACATCACACAAAAATAACATGCTCTTCAAACTAGGCCAATTCAACTTAATTAGTAGATTATCATCCAGGTCACCAAAAAATATGGGTCGGGTGGGAGAATTTTATTTTTTACTTTTTATTTATCAGTTTTTTTGTGTCCGACATTGACAGTAATTCTCGCCGTCTGAATGTTAGGTCGGGGTGGCCTGTTGTCGATATTTCCGCTCACGAAATCATTGTAGAAATCGATGATTGTTTTTTCATCACTAAAATTTGTAGCATACCAACCCCTTCTTTCGTTCACGCCTGTCACAACACGAGAAATAATAAAAACAATTTCTCTTATTTGACGTGCGGTTCTTGACGTTTCTAAACCGGAAATATTTTTTTGAAATATAAATACCGGAATCGAACACGAAAAATTTCCGGAAAACATAATTCTTGCAAAAATAAAAAAAAAAATGTAATTTTAGCAGTTAACGTGCGAGTACCCATTATTTCCGAGTACCCATTATTGCCGAATCTAATAAAAACAATTAAAAATCCATCAATTTGTTGTTTTTTCTCCCCAACTCCTGTAAGCTCCCTGCTCTCCTGATTCTCGACAATCATGAGAGCCACCTCACTCTTAAGCTAATTCAGCGAGCCAAGGCAGAGGTAGTAGAGTTATGTGGATTGTCTCCTCACACCACACACGTTACGCAGCCCTTGGATGTGGCATTGTTCAAGCCCATGAAGAAAAAATTCTCCTCTGACATTGCTGTCAACCTTGGGTTTGCCAGGAAAGACTTGGTGATTGGCAAGGCAAAGTAAGGACACATTTTTGATGTCTACCTGAAAAAAAAATTCTAAAATCTGAATATCAGCTGATAATAGATAGAATCTTGC